ATAAGCAGCACATTTTTCCATTGATAGTTCTGATTGTGGAACTGGTAGATGTACATTCTCATACCGTGGATTAACTGATGATAATTCTTGCTGTTGTGAACCTGTAAGTAAACCTTGTTTATAAATGAATAAATAAATTACAGTACTTTGATTATTATTTTCATTTGTCTTCAGTAATGTAACATCATTAATCACTTCCATTCTTCCTCTTCTCTTTTTAAATCGAACTGTTGCTGCTACCACTACAATTACTATAAGAACTACAATGTACATATTAATGACAACATTTGATTATAATGTACATACCAATTATTATAATTAGTAGTGCAATTGATGCCCCAGAAGCCAGTCCAATAATTGATGATAAAGAAGATATGGATGAAGGAGCTGTCAATGAAAGAGTTGGGGAGGAAGAAGTTATAGAAGTTACTGATGGTGAATTTAAAGACAAAGAAATAGATGGAGCTATGGACAAAGGCATTGGGAACGAAGAATATGACAAAGTTTGAGATGAAGATGAAGAAGATGAAGATAGGGATGAAAGAGCAATAGATGAAGAAGTTAGGGATGAGCATGCTATAACAGATGATGATGTAGCAGTTGAAGTACCTATGTATACAATAAAGTACATTATAACTACACAAATGAACATACACTGTACCTGCCACTAATGTACTAGTTAATCTAGTGGTAGGAATAGAAGTAGAGCTACTGATGGTAGGAGTATCTGTAGTACTGCTTATGATGGTGCTACTTGTAACTTGTTGCACTACTGAACTTGATACTGATGAAGTAGTCAGCACTGATGAAGCAAATGCTTTAAATTCAGACGTTATTGACGAAATTAGCACAGACGAAGTAGGCATTGTTATTGGTAAAGACATCATTGATGAAGTAATTAAAGTAGATGATGAAGTAGTTGGAATTGATGAAATAGTTACTACTGGTGAAGCAGATATTATCAATGGTACAGACATCATTGAAGGAGTAGTCAATACTGTTGATGCGAGTGATACTGATGATGAATGAACTGATGACATTAGAACTGAAGATGTAGAGTCATTAATAATATTAATACCAGTTATTACAGCAGGAGGATTAGATTGACAAGTATATATGGTTGCCCATTCACATGCATACAGTGTTAAGTTATTACCAGCTAGTATGTAATCAATACACTGAATAAAGTTTAACTGATCATTGGGAGATATACTGAAACCATCAATAATATAGTCTACATCATCAGCAAGCAGAATTACATCAATATAAGGTGTACTGCCACTGACATACTGAAACTGAAGACAAACAGAATTTGATGTGATATTAATTAATGTGAATTCCTGAAGATCATGAGTACCTTAAAATAAGTAAATATCATAATGTATTAATTGTGTATTACTTACTGATTGTTATAGTGTTGCTTTGAACTGTAACTCCATTTTGATAGTACAAGGTAGTATTAGTATTCAGTGTCTTATTTGATGGAAATTGAACAACAAGTGAAATGTTATTATAAGAACTATTGCTTATGGATACATTTGTTGTTGAATAACAGTTATCCTTAGTACATCCTTTCAATGTAATGTTCATTAGTGGTGGTACATTAGTACAAAACTGATGAACCTATA